CGCCAGTATAACATCAATTGTGCTTACGTAGGTCCACCGCAACCGCTAACGTAAGCCACGCCGCGCAAGTATACACTAGGCTTAACCCCTTGAGATGAATCATCTCGTTTCCGAGGGGGTCCTCAAAATCAAATAAAAAATCAACAATACAGCAGCAACAGTCAATTATATACAAAAAAAATAAAACAGGACAAAAGCTCAACACATTCACACACACTCAGCTCTCATTTACCCACTCCCCCTATAACTACAGTAAAGTACAATACAAAATAAATACAAACCCCACACATAAAGACCTGGAGGTGGAATCAAACCTGTGAAGCACAAACGCTAACTGCTGCGACACCACACCGAAAACAGTGAAGCAGGGCAGTAAAAGCACCGGCCAATCACAAATTCAGCTGTGTCTGCATCACAGTAAAAGCCTCAGCTCGGGGATCACGGCTGACGACAGCACGGCACCCTCACACTGAGCTGCCTCCGTCTGGACAGAGATAGAGATATAGATATATATCTGTCTCTGATATATCTACTGTACCCTTATATTATATTATAATTATATTTTCTTGATTTGTAGGCTTAATTCAAAGCTACAGTATTTGAAATGATTCAGTATCTGTATGCTTGGCTTGCAAAGTGTGTGTAATTGCAAACAAAATACACATTTCTGTCATCATTACGCATGATAAACGATAAATATATTCGGTTCTGTCCAATTTATATAATATAGTATTGCGGCACCATGTGGGTTGCAATGTTTTTTTGGTGGTCAGAGGGTCACATACTGGTTGCCTCCCTTCTGTCAGTGTGCCCCAGGGAAACTGTGGCGCCATTAGTCATTAGGAGTGAATGAATAATGCCATGTGAAGCTCTATATAAAACCAATTCATTATTATTATTCTATAAGAATTAATGTTTCCTTCCCAATATAGCAAAGAAATACCAAAGTGTCTTCTGTAATTCTGGATTTCTTTCCGTCTTATTCAATTTACATTTCAATTACGTATTTCGAAAAACAAAAGGCTTGATGTTTAAAAAGGGGAATTGAACATTTTGGATTAGACTGAAAGCCGGTCTGCCCTTTGTGTGTGGTTTACATTCATACCTGATGCTCCACTCGGCTGCTGGTCTGGTCACCTTGGATTTGTGACTGTAATCGTGTGTCTGCCATTATTGAGACGACGGAGGGAGCAGTTTGACATTGGGGAGAGAAAACACACAGAGGGATAATGGTGAAATGGTCTAAAAGAATAATACAGAGGATTAGAAAGCATTTCCAAAGGTCACGTTGCATAGGAAAATGACCCTTTCTCCTCCCTTTTATTGATTGACTGCGGAACCTTCCGCAGTCAATCATTGGTTTTCACGTTCTTTATTATTATTCCGTCTTTTTCCTGATTTTTGACACGTTTCACAGCTTTCACATTTTCAACAATTTCCACAAGTTATACATCAAAACGTTCCACATGTGGGAGATTATTGCTATTACTTTTGGGACTTCAGCGATTTCCGGTTTTTCCGCAATCGGACAAAAATCGGTCGATTTTTCCCATTGACTTATAATGGGGCTTCCACAAATTCATAGTTTTCAGAATTTTCTTCAACATTTTCAGCATTTTCTGCAGTTTGTGCATGTTCAGCTTCCACAACTTGTGAGTTTTCAGAAAAAATTTGAGTTCTGCAGTTTTCCAGTTTTTTCTACGGGCTTGGGAATTCTGCCATTAATTTGCATTGAGAATTCTGCAATGCATTTTAATAGGCCCATGCATTTTAATAGGACTTCAGCTCTTTCAGACATTTCTACAGTTTCAATGATTCAACAGTTTCAATGATTCAACAGTTTCAAGGATTCAACAGTTTCAAGGATTCAACAGTTTCAAGGATTCAACAGTTTCAAGGATTCAACAGTTTCAAGGACTTCAACAGTTTCAAGGACTTCAGCAGTTTCAAGGTATCAAGAGTTTCAAGGACTTCAACAGTTTCAAGGACTTCAACAGTTTCAAGGACTTCAGCAGTTTCAAGGACTTCAGCAGTTTCAAGATTTCAAGAGTTTCAAGGACTTCAACAGTTTCAAGGACTTCAGCAGTTTCAAGGACTTCAGCAGTTTCAAGGACTTCAGCAGTTTCAAGGACTTCAACATTTCAAGGACTTCAACAGTTTCAAGGACTTCAACAGTTTCAAGGACTTCAGCAGTTTCAAGGACTTCAGCAGTTTCAAGGACTTCAGCAGTTTCAAGGACATCAACAGTTTCAAGGACTTCAGCAGTTTCAAGGTTTCCACAGTTTCAAGGTTTCAACAATTTCAAGGTTTCAACAGTTTCAAGGTTTCAACAGTTTCAAGGTTTCAACAGTTTCAAGGTTTCAACGGTTTCAAGGTTTCAACAGTTTCAAGGACTTCAACAGTTTCAAGGACTTCAACAGTTTCAAGGTTTCAACAGTTTCAAGGTTTCAACAGTTTCAAGGACTTCAGTGTAATCATGCAACTTAATAGGGATTTTTCCATGTAAACCAGTATAATGCAACTTAATAGGGATTTTTCCATGTAAACCAGTATTATGCAACTTAATAGGGATTTTTCCATGTAAACCAGTATAATGCAACTTAATAGGGTTTTTTTCATGTAAACCAGTATAATGCAACTTAATAGGGATTTTTTCATGTAAACAAGTATAATGCAACTTAATGGGGATTTTTCCATGTAAACCAGTATAATGCAACTTAATAGTTTTTTTTTTTTACATGTAAACCAGTATAATGGAACTTAATAGGGTTTTTTTTCCATGTAAACCAGTATAATGCAACTTAATAGGGATTTTTCCATGTAAACCAGTACAATGCAACTTAATAGGGATTTTTCCATGTAAACCAGTATAATGCAACTTAATAGGGTTTTTTTCATGTAAACCAGTATAATGCAACTTAATGGGGATTTTTCCATGTAAACCAGTATAATGCAACTTAATAGGGTTTTTTTCATGTAAACCAGTATAATGCAACTTAATAGGGTTTTTTTCATGTAAACCAGTATAATGCAACTTAATGGGGATTTTTTCCATGTAAACCAGTATAATGCAACTTAATAGGGGTTTTTACATGTAAACCAGTATAATGCAACTTAATAGGGTTTTTTCCATGTAAACCAGTATAATGCAACTTAATAGGGATTTTTCCATGTAAACCAGTACAATGCAACTTAATAGGGATTTTTCCATGTAAACCAGTATAATGCAACTTAATAGGGTTTTTTTCATGTAAAACCAGTATAATGCAACTTAATGGGGATTTTTCCATGTAAACCAGTATTAATGCAACTTAATAGGGATTTTTCCATGTAAACCAGTATAATGCAACTTAATAGGGTTTTTTTCATGTAAACCAGTATAATGCAACTTAATAGGGTTTTTTTCATGTAAACCAGTATAATGCAACTTAATGGGGATTTTTCCATGTAAACCAGTATAATGGAACTTAATAGGGTTTTTTTCCATGTAAACCAGTACAATGCAACTTAATAGGGATTTTTCCATGTAAACCAGTATAATGCAACTTAATAGGTTTTTTTTTCATGTAAACCAGTATAATGCAACTTAATGGGGAATTTTTCCATGTAAACCAGTATAATGCAACTTAATAGGGTTTTTTCATGTAAACCAGTATAATGCAACTTAATAGGGTTTTTTTCATGTAAACCAGTATAATGCAACTTAAAGGAATAGTTCACCGTTTGTACATACTGACATATGTTCTTACCTTACCTTAGACTAGCAGCGAGAGAGAAGTCTCCGGAGAGAAGTTAGTGCGCGGAGAAGTTAGGAGCGCTCTACGGCTCGCGCACTAACTTCTCTCCAGAGACTTCTCTCTCGCTGCTACTGTGTGTATTACAAGTCACGCTGCTTCTATTGACGGAAGTGAGCGAGAGAGAAGTCTCCGGAGAGAATTAGTGCGCGGACGTAGCGCACCTCAGATTACTACGCCTCACAATATAGTACCCGTTTTATCCCTGAGAAAATCGACTGTTACATTTCTGTGTTACTATACTTTGCAGTGTAAACGTTACGTAACTATATACATTTAATAGGGAACACTTGGAAGAGTTCGGTAGCTTTCTAGCGGAGCTACCTTTTTGGTGCTACAAAATATACAGAGGAGGCTGCGTTGTGCTCCAGTTTTTGCTCCGTTTGCATGACAGAGCGCACGGACTAAGACCAGACAGGTACGTATTAACTAGTCTAAGGTAAGGTAAGAACATATGTCAGTATGTACAAACGGTGAACTATTCCTTTAATAGGGTTTTTCCATGTAAACCAGTACAATGCAACTTAATAGGATTTTTTCCATGTAAACCCAGTATAATGCAACTTAATAGGGTTTTTTTCATGTAAACCATATAATGCAACTTACACAATACAATACAATTTATTCTTGTATAGCCCTAGGTCACAACAGAAGTCATCTCAGAGGACTTAACAAATACCATTGTGGGCAGGCTGGTTACCGGTAAAAGGTCTGATAAACAGTTCAGTTAAAAGTGACAGTAATCCTTTTTGATACAGTCTGTTAAAATCCGCTTAATCCGTCGAGCAGGGCAAATAAAACCAGTAAAAGAAACTTAGTTTAAAAATAAATCATAAAAAACGTGCAGCTCAAAAAAGGCTCCAAACAAATGCGTCCGCCATGCAAGATGGCACTGTGGTATCTAGATAAGTATTAATTACTACAGGGGAAAGTATTAATTACTACAGGGGAAACATACTATGTGATACTAATTAATGTGAGATATATCAAGCCTTTATATGGTTATAATTGGCTCACTGCTGTAAAAACCCCAAATAAAACATTGACAAAAATTTAAATATTTTGAACGTAGACTGAAATAAGGGTTACCTGCTTAGTACAAATCAACAACTAAATGAGTTTGTGATTGCTAACTGAGCCCTGGTTTTAACATCTAACATTGAATAAACAGTAGAACAGTTGTAAAGAGTTGTGGTGAGTGAGTGCTTACTTGACGGCGGTCTCCTCGGGGACCTCCAGAGCCAGAGTGAGCGTTCCAGATGTCAGCTCACACAGCTCAGGGCTCAAACAGTGGAGGCCCTCAGTCACCTGCACAACAACAGCACATGTCTTATTTATGCCTGCTGAATTATCCAAACTACCCCTCATCACAAAATACACCGTGCACACCTATGTGCGTGTCACTTTTTTAATACTATCTTGAAGAGCTTTAAGAAGTATTGTGCGTTGAAGCCTGACCACGTAATGAGATCACAGAAGCAAGACAAGTCAGGGCCTGGATGGGAGACCGTTGGGAGAATGCCAGGAGCCATAGTGGTACAGATCTTTAATGCAAACGGCCGTGTCCTTTGGCAAGAAGCTCATTACAAATAATGTAATTAGCTCTAAATAAATCAAAACTTACTTACTTTCTAAATTTATAGGATAATGTACAATGTGAGATATTTTAAACCCATATATTTCCAGTGCTATACGTTCATGATCTTGTATGTGTTTTGTTGTATTCCATCATGAGGTGAAATGAGATTTGTGTTTATACCCTGCCTGATTCCCAGGGCACCACCAGCATCCTCTGTCCGGCCTTGGGTTGCCATGGTGGCAGAGTGGGCGGGGCAGGCGGGGTGGTGGAGGCCACTGTGGTTGGTTGTGGGGGCTGAGTGGCGGCTGGAGTTGTCGGGGCGACCGGGGTGGCGAGTTCTTGCGGCTCCCATTCGGCGGGCGGGAGGTCGAGCAGGATCTGGTCGCACCTCACCCCCTCGTATCCATCGCTGCACTCACAGGTGAAGACTCCACCATCGCCGTCACTATGGCTGCAGTTGCCATGGAGACAAGGGCTGCTGGCACATGGGTCTGTGAAGAACTGGAAAAAGAGCAAACACAAAACAGGAAGTTTACAAACAGTAAAAAATAAAAAACAGATTCTTTCTCCTGGACAATTTACAGACATTTTTCCTTTCTCGTTTTTCAGCTGCAGACGGCTCTCTGCTCCTGATGCAGACAGCTCCTCAGATGATGCTTCCTCTGCTGGTTTCACCTGCACTCTGCTTTGTATTTCCTATGGTTTTATCTACTGTACTTGTATGTGTGTGAGAACTAAGAAAGTATTTCATTTATATAGCACCTACTGTACCACTGACCACGCACTGGTCGCATGATAGAAACTAACAATCAAACTCAAGCATCGCATTTTTACATTTCTATAAATGTTGTCACAAAACTCAATGTAAATAAGTAAGTACGTATTTATATAACGCATTTTTACAGACCAAGGACACCCAAAGCGCTTCACAATGTTCAGAGATCAGATATGTCATTGTTGAACTGTTCTCCACCTTATTGGTAGTAATGCCAACGAGAGGGACTATTTTAGGTAAGTTGTTATGGCTGAAAAACTCTGACTGTAAATAATTGTACAGTGCCCATTTTCAGCAATATATATTCTTTAATAATGAAATAGAATAGATTTTGCTGACGTCGCCTTTATTGCTTCATAAGAAATAGCTATGCACATGTTGTCTTTTGATATGCAGATCCTGTGGGAAAATTGGATTTATTTTTATGTCATGCTGTGTTACCGACTCCTCAGCTTGTTTCTCCATGGATATGAGTCTGATTAGAATACATTTGCAGCTTATCATACAGAATAAGTCTGTGCATGTGCGGCCCCTGTCTCTTGAGGGTGACGGTCTACATAATAAGTAGTATTAATGGTAAAGAGGGGGGTCTTATCTGAGGTAACGCAATGCTCGGCTTTGTCTGTTTGCTTGTTTCGTTAGTTTGCTAATAGTTCTGGGTATCTTTTTATAGATAACAGCTCTAAGTAACTTTCATTAGTGAATTATTTGTTGTCATTATTTATGCCATCAACTCAAAACTCACTTGAGAAATGTGAAAGCAATCATTTCAGACAATAATGAGAAATATACTTTGGGCCAGGATGCAGCTTTAATGTTTGTGTTAGTAATCATTTTGTTGCGAAGTAGTAAAGGCGAAAAGCTTCACTCCCAATGCAATAACTGCGGTGGCTGCCAAGTAGTAAACTTATTTTGCTGACTTGTCTGCTGTCGTAAATATTATGGGATGCACACACTTGCCAAAGGTGTAAGTTAAGTCCAAATCTATCTTGTCTAAGTTCTTTCACATTTTCTATTTCAACAATAAACATTTTTTTTCAGATGCACAATATTCTTTCTCCATTTGGCTGCACATCCTCAAACATACTGTACGTTTCTAATGATCAGAATGTGTTTGTGCTTGTGTGGATACTGCACATGTGCGTGTCTCTCAAACCCCCATGAATATCTCATGTAAAAATGTAATTGTTATCAGCTGAGTTGAAGAAATTAAAGCCGACAGCGTTGGAAATAGCACGGCACGATTGACCTGGAAGTATATTTGGTACGAACAACATTGATATAGCAGAGGTGCGTGTTTTACTAAATATCCATGACAGAGGCACACTGTGACCTTAAATATCTAATCTGGATATCGTACCTTGTTTGTCCCATGTTCAACGCATTTAAATATGTGTTATAATATAAAACTTAACCAACAGATGATGAAGCAACCCAAAGCCAACCGGCGACATTGTGTTTCTTATTTTTGCATTTCCTGTGTTCTACAGTAATGGGTTGATTCTCTAATCTGTTATTGGCTAAATTGTTTTATAATTTTGTCCTTTGATAAAACTGCTGATGTGAATTAGGGCTTTACAACAACAAAAATTTGAATTGACTTCAGCTTGACTAACTGGCCATTTGCACCATCAGCTCCCTCAACCCCTTCATATATGGGGGTTAGTTAGTTCAGTTAGTTAACAACAACAATCAACAATGAAGGATCTTGCCCAAGGGCTCAATCACAGGATATCATGCACTGGTCAGAGTGATCTGTACCGTCAACCTTCATGTTTTCAGAGGGCTCAGTACACAGAACTCTACCTTCCATCTCCACTTAAAGCTGACGACATTTTGACAGTAAAACCTCACGTCTTACAACCCGACAGCTTTGGAAAGGTCCTTGAGATAATCCCAAAAAATCCTGTCACTTTTTCTTCACAGCAAAAATACTTGTTAGTCCATTTTCTACAGTAACAAGCGCTCAACCTCTGCAGCTTGTGATTAGAAGAGAGAAGGCGAGGGACCCAAATGGACAACAGTGCGTGCAGACTCCTACCCTCTCTGCATGCGTGTGGAGACAAAGGCTGGAGCAGATAAGAGGAGTGGAGCACAGAGGGCCTGCTGAGACGGCCCGGCTCCAAAGATGAGTGCACAAGTTTGATAGAAGTGTCACCAAAAGCCCAGGCAGATTACACTAATGAGCTGTGACTGCACGGCGGAGAGTGGAGCCGCCTGCTAATGCCGGCCCATTGTCCTGCATCCAACTGTTGTTAAAATGCTCATACTTGGCCGTTTGTGCCCTTGACTTGTTAGCTGAATTTGCCAATATCTTTTATCTGTAATTAACAGTGTACAAAAAATGACCTATTCTTCAAGTCAAAGTTTTTGAGACAAAGCTTATGGACACTTCCCCCTTCTGAAGAGTCTTGGCTTTTTTTGAGTGTTTAAAGTTTTCAAAAAAGACCTGGTCATCACAAAACGACTCAATGAAGACCACATCATCTCCCGGCTCCTTGCAGATGAACTCTGCAGAGTGTTGGAGCATGTCTTCAACATGAGCTTCAGGCTGAGGTCGGTACCACAGCTCTGGAAGACCTTCTGTGTGATGCCAGTGCCAAAGAAACTACTGGTCAACGATCACGGCAAGTTCAGGCCGGTGGCTCTGATATTCCACCTCATGAAGACACTCGAGAAGCTGGTCCTTGGCCACCTCCGCTCCCTGGTGAACTCAGCAAGGGATCCGCTGGAGTTTGCTTTCCGGCCACTGCTCGGTGTCCCACCTGGAGAAGCCTGACTTTGCTGTGAGGATCTTCTTTGATTTCTCCAGCGCATTTAACACAAGTCAGCTGGAGTGGACTACAATCTGTCTGGGTGGATCCTGGACTACCTCACAGATAGACCCTAGTTTGAGAGAGCCAGAGACTTTGTGTCTGAGGTCCTGACGTGCAGTGTGGGGGCCCCCCAGGGGACAGTCCTTGCACCTTCCTCTTCACCCTCAACACTGCAAACTTCAGACACAACACAAGACGGTTGTGTCCTACAGAAGTTCTCTGATGACTCTGCCATCATTGGACTCATCACTGAGGACAACAACGCAGAGTATACAGGACTTTGTGGAGTGGTATCAGTGGAACCACCTCCACTTCAACGCGGGGAAGATCAAGGTGGTGGATTTCCTGCCAGATCTGAGATCGGACCAAACTAAAGGACTAAACAATGACAAGGTCTAATTTAGATCAAGACTAAACCATAGCTAGCAAAAAGTGAATAATATAGCATCCCCACTATTATATCATTATTGCATCGCACACACAACATGCCATTAATATAAAATATCTAAAAATGTATTGTGAGGTGGGTCAGGCACAATACAGAAACTGGTTTAAAATTCTTTATTGCATGATCCATTTTACATGATCATAGACACATTTTTAAAAGGTGATAAAAAGTAGTGAAAACAGTATATCCCCTCCACACCACCAACACATCACCGCAGTATTTTTCTTCCACTTTGATGAATTATTGATAGAGTAAAAGCAGTGCGGTGAACTTGTAGGGGGGATGTATACATTGGATTATATGGCACAATGCACTAACTGCTGCGTGCGATTGCAGGGGCCAGGCCATAATAATGTCAAACAGGAGGACGACTGAACCCAGTGCGTATGCTGAGTCACAGTAATAAAAGAGTGGAGAAAAACACAATCTCACACACTACACTCGGGCTGCTGTCTTATACAGTAATTCTCTGTATTTGTCAAACAGAAGATGCAAGAAATGACACATTAATACAAACACAATACTTGTAAAAGTTATGTATGTACTATGCCAAATATCAGAATCCTTTTTATTGGCATATGAAAGAATATATCCACCTTTTTCACATTTTTCAACATTTCAGAAATTATAGACAGTCGGTCGGGAGCTGAGCAGATCTCATTTAACAAGCTCTCATGATCCATTGACCTTTGCACAGTTTAATCAATTGGTTCATTTATTTAAAAAGAATAATGAAATGAGCGCTCCCTCATTGCAACCTCCTGACTGCTTTCGTTCATGAGTAAATGATTTGGATTTGGAAGTTAAGTTGATGGAATAAAAACTAGACAAAAGGATGAGTGTGATTCATTTAGCGCAGAAAAAGGCTTGAGACATAGATAACGTGTCGAAGCCAAACTGATAACTAGCGTCCCATTGCATAATCTGGTTACTCAGCAGGTTGCCAGACCAGTATCTTTCAGCAAGAGGAGTTTCCATGGCGACTGTAACTAGGTAACGTGAGTAATTAGCACAAGGCGGTACAGTTTCGCAGCAACCTGCTTCCAGATCTGCGTGGGGTCTGTTGTTTGGCTGGCGTCCCAAACGGCCGAAAACAAACAGTGATCTCATCTGTGCTTTAAGAGCAGTCAACTTTCATGGAGCAAATGTATGTTTTGGAAAAGAACACTACTGTACATTTAATTACTATAAAAACATAGAAAAAACCGTGCATGAATAAAAGTTCAAAGAAGTAACCGTGCCGCTGACCACCTGCTTGTCTCGGTGACACGCTAATATTATTAATCTAACAAAGTGAAACCTATTTATGCTACAGAGTCATTGCACACAAAGATATACCAAGCATTTGTTATTATAATGTTGATGATTATGGCTCCCAACTGTAAAAACCCTGAAATAAACAACTTAGTACATTCATTTGAAAATGGACTGCAAGTCATAACCATAAAAATTATAACTTACA